GAAAAATTTTCATTGATGAGTTGGTAAAGATCAAAATGTTGGAAAATATACTTTTGCTAAAAGTATAAGGAAATAGGCACTCTTTTGCTCTGCTTGTGAAAACGTAAAGGTTTAACTTCTTTGGTGGAATCTGATAATACCTATCAAATGTAAAATGACCATAATTTTGACTCAGAATTCTACTTTTAGGAATTTGACCTATAAACAAACTTGCATATTAGTTCAAAAACACACCCATATAATAACTCTTCTTCATCACTGTTCATAACAGTCAAAGATTTGAGGTAATTAAAATCCCCTTCATAAGGTAACTTGGCAGATTAATTATGATACATCCTTATATAAGTGCATTATCTGTCTGGGAAGAATTTGGTAAATCTGTGTGTACCTACATTGAAAGAGCTCTAAGACAAATTAAGAAGATCAAAGTGAAGAGCTACATTATAGAGTGTTATTTGGTTTTTGTTTTTTAGAAAATACATATATTAATGCAAATACATGCATTGCATATCTGCTGAAGGAGATACAAAAAATAAAAATAAAACTGTCATTTCTACGGAAGGGCCCAGGGTAAGGGTGCATACCGCAGAGCAGAGACTTTTTTCTCCATCAGTTATTCTTTCATACTGCTTAAATATGCTTAACCAGGTACACATATTACTTTTTTTTAATTAAACTTTTTATTCTGAAGTAATTGTAGACTCACATGCAATTATGAAAAACTAATACAGAGAGATCCCATGTAACCCTTACCCCGTTTTTCCCCAATGGTATCTTGCAAAACTACAGTACAATATCATAACCAAGATATTGGCCATCCTGGCTAACACAGTGAAACTCCGTCTCTACTTAAAAAAAAAAAGAAAAAAAATTAGCTGGGCATGGTGGCGGGCACCTGTAGTCCCAGCTACTAGGGAGACTGAGGCAGGAGAATGGTGTGAACCCAGGAGGCAGTGCTTGCAGTGAGCCAAGATCATACCACTGCACTCCAGCCTGGGCAACAGAGCAAGACTCCATCTCAAAAAAAAAAAAAAAAAAATTAGTTGGTATAGTGTCACATGCCTGTGGTCACAACTACTCAGGAATTGAGGTGGGAGGATCACTTGAGCCCAGGAATTTGAAGCTGGGCTCCAGCCTGGGAGAAAGAAACCCTGTCTCTTAAAAAAATAAGAAGGAAGAAAAGAAACAAAGATTGTCTACAAGCTATAAAAAACTACCTTGAGAGACCAAAACTAATAATTATTCATATTCAAGAGGGAGTTGAGCAAGAGGAAGGGATAGAAAGCTTATTAAAGGAAATAAAAACTGAAAACTTTCCAAAACTTGAGAAAGCTATAAATATCCAGATACAGTAAGGTCAGAGAACACCAGATTTGACCCAAATAAGACTACCCCAAGGCATATAATAATAAAATCTCAAAAGTCAGAAAGAGAATCCTAAAAGCAGCAAGAGAAAAAGAAGAAATAACATAAAGGAGCTCTAGGTCATCTGGCAACAGACTTTTCAGCAGAAACCATACAGGCCAGAAGGAGGTGAAATAACATTTTCAAAATGCTGGGAAAAAAAAAAACCGCTACCATCCAAGAATACTATATTCAGCAAAGCTATCCTTCAAATATGAAGGAGAGAAAGTTTTTGCCAGACAAACAAAAGCTGGGAGCATTCAGCACCACTAGATTTGTCTTATAAGAAATACTAAAGGGAGTTCTTTGACCTGAAAGAAAAAAACACTAATGTGCAAAAAGAAAACATTTGAAGATATAAAATCCACTGGTAAAATTAAGTGCACAGCAAAACCAAGAATACTCTAATACTGTAATGAGGGTGTGCAATCTGCTCATAACTCTAGTATGAAGCCTAAAACACAAATCTATCAAAGACAATAATAGCTACAGCAACCTGTTAAGAAATAGGCAATATAAAAATGTGAAAATCGGAATAACAAAAGGTCAAAATGGAGGGGGCGGAGTTAAAGTGTAGTTTCTTAGTTTTTTTCTTTGTTTCTACTATTTTCTTTGTGATCTAAGATAAGCTGTCATCTCCTTAACATAACATTATAAGATTTTTTGTTAAGCATTATGGTAACCACAGTGTAAAAATCTATAACTTATTCACTAAAAATAAAAAGCAGCAAATTAAAATACGCAACTAGAGAAAAAACACAAAAGAATTACAGAGGAAGACAGTAAGAAAGGAAGAGTTACAAAACAGGTAGAAAATAAGCAACAAAATGTCAGTTGTAAGTCCTTACTTATCAGTAATAATACTGAATGTAAATTACTCAGTTCTCCAATAAAAAAGCATAGAGTGGCTAAATGGATAAAGAAATAAGACCCAGGTTTCTGCCTACAAGAAACCCACTTCAACTATAAAGACACACCTAGACTAGAGGTGAAGCAGTAGAAAAATATATACCATGCAACTAGAAACCAAGAAAAGAGCAAGAAGTAGCTATATTTATTCTAGATAGAATAGACTATAAATCAAAGACAGTAAAAGAGAAAGAGAGACCACTGTATAATGATAAAGGGGTCAATTCAGCAAGAAGACATATTTATATTATGTTTCTACAATGTTTAACATTATAAAGTCCTTAGGGCTAGCACTGTAAAAGTTCATAAAATCATAAAAGGAACTTTTTCCAATTACATGTGTGCTGCTCTCTCAGTATCAGGAAGTAAGTCAACATTACTCCAGATACACAATGAGCTATGTAAATATTCTGCTAAGCTGTACTCTAACACGTTAGTTCTATAGATGTTACCATTCTATAGTTAAATACTGAGTGTTTCTTCAGAATAACTGGTATCTCAAGAAAAAATCCCAACCAAAACCAGTTTATTTATTGTCGCAGTTGTGATACTACTATAAGAACTTACAACAATTATATTTCAAGTGAATGGAGGTTTGATATCTCTTTGGTATTATTATCTATTTAAAACTTTAATGTACTGCATTACAGTTCCTCTCATATACTTTCTCCAAATGATGGTGGAAAAATGTTTCTATGTACATTTTCCATTTAGATAAAAATATTACCTCTTGAATAGCATCTTAGAGTCACAAATAACCAGAGGTTCCTTAGTAGGGAAAAAACAATGAAAGATAAGAGCACATTACAGGATAATATGTCTAATACTTTCCCTTTCTATGACTGATAAACAAAAACTGACAGAATAAATTGTCAAATTTTGGCAATTTATTACTTTAGAAAGATAATTATATAGTAGGTATTTGGTAACCACAAGGCATTAAGAACACCTACAAATCTGCTAGACATGGTGGGTCACACCTGTAATCCCAGCACTTTGGGAGGCAGAGGCAGGCGGATCACTTGAGGTCAGGAGTTTGAGACCAGCCTAACCAACATAGTGAAACTCCATCTCTACTAAAAATACAAAAATTAGCGAGCCATGGTGGTATGAGCCTGTGGTCCCAGCTACTCAGGAGGCTGAGGCAGGAGAATCACTTGAACCTGGGAGGCAGAGGTTGCAGTGAGCCGTGATCATGCCACTGCACTCCAGCTTGGGCAACAAAGCTAGACTCCGCCTTAAAAACTAACAACAACAACAAAAAAAACGAGAATATCTACAAATCAATAAGTAGCACAAAAATTTTAAAAATAAAAGATACAAAAACAATTCACAGAAAAAGAATGGCCAATAAACATGACAATATGCTAAACATTAATAATAAAGAATGTTAATTAAAACATGATAACATTTTCCTGCCATTTGGCAAATATGAAAAAGATCAAGAAGACTCAATGTTGGCTGGGCACAGTGGTGTACACCTGTAAACGCTAGCACTTTGGAAGGCCAAGGTGGGAGGATTACTTGAGTCCAGGAGTTTGAGACCTGCCTGGGCAACACAGCAAGACCTTGTCCCTAAAAAAATTTTTTTTTTAATTAGTGAGGTGTAATGTGCCTGTAGTCCCAGCTACTCAAGAGGCTGAGGTGGGAGGGTCACTTGAGCCCAGGAGGTTGAGGGTGTAGTGAGCTGGGCCACACAGCGAGACCCTGTCTCAAAAAAAAAAGAAATAAAATAAATACCCAATGTTGATATGGACATGAAAAAATAAAAGTACTTATATTTTGACAGTAGGAGGATAAATTGGTACAAATTTTTTAGAATGCAACTTGACAGTATCTACAAAATTTTAAACACAGATATTAATACATACCCTAATATCCAATAATGCTGTTTTTAAATCTATCTATTAGCTATTAATACATACCCTAATATCCAATAATGCTGTTTTTAAATCTATCCTATGAAAATATTAGTATATGAATATATATCTTTATATTTATAAGGATAGTCATTACAGCACCAACAAGGAAGGAGGAGTAAGTAAATTTTGGTATATACATTCAATGGAATATCATGCACTCAGTTTAAAATGCAGAAAATGTTTGTGTACCAATTTGGAGAGATGTATTACTAAGCAATGAAAATAAGTTGCAGAAAAATATATATAACATTTTATTTTTATTTTTGAAAAAACTCTCTTATGTATATATGTAAGCACAGAAAAAAGTCTGCAAGTGTATACAACAAACACTTCACAATGGTAATCTCTGGAGAGGAGGAGAATTTTGATTTGGAGATAAGGAATAGGAGAAACTTCATGTTTTATTTAATACCTTCTAATGTTTGAATTCAATTTAATGAGTATATATTAACTTTTATTTTAAAAGTAAGAAAGTATTTAAATAAAACAATTTGGGAAGTTTTTCTTTTAACCAAGCTATTTTGGGGTCTGTAGAGAAGAGTTACTTTATAGTCAGAATAACTATTCTTTCAGAATTTCTAAAGGGGAAAAAGAAAAACTCCCACACAGAAATAGATTCTCTCCCAGAGTCAGCATCTGTTCACTTTACCAGGGATAAATTAAATCTAAAGTAAATGTTTGAGAGTAGTAACCTACAAAAAGCATTTTAAACAGAAATGGAATAACAAAAAAAGACAGTAAAGTTAAAGGAAGACGAAAACCCACCTGTACTATATCCAGTACCATGCCAGCTGAAACTGTTCCAAAACCAGCTAACAAAAAGGGCACAAGTATTTGCAATGCCATGATGCCACTGGATTCCTTTGGTAATTTTGGGGTCACTTCTACAATAGCATCTTCATCACCATCACTAGATATATCTTCATCTTGTAACATGGCAGTGGTTTCTGAAGTCTCCCTTCCATCACAGTAATTATAATTGGCATAGTCATCATACTTTTGGCTGCAGCTTGATGATGCGTGCCCATTATTGGCATGAAAAGACTGCTCTGAGAAACTGTGATACTCCATGTTTTGCTCAGATCTATTACTAAAAGTCTGTACTGCAGTTGATAATCCATCTTGCCAAATGCCGTTTGCTTTTTTGTGCCTGTCTTCTTGGTTTTTCTGGTAAATTACCGGAACCATACTCAAGAGTAAATTTAAAAACTTGTCAGATTGAATTGTGTTTAAACGTAAAGTCCAATCTACAAAACCTCCTCCATTACTTGAACCACCACTTGTTTTATCGGTAATAGATCTTCCTTTACTATTAGTCATATTGTCATCGCAAAAGACCCTGTACTCCCCTCAGATCTCAAGCTTCGTGGACCACAGCAGATGAATCAGAATCACACGAACATTGGTTTAAATTAAGTTGTTGACTTCATTGTGTAGAAAATATTTCCACTAATAAAAGATGTTCAGATGTTCCACAGAAGGACTGGATCTGGAAAAACAAATAATTTCTAAAAATCAGATAAACAAGATAGTTTCAGCATCAAGATAGATACTTAAATTCTTACAAAGGTATTAAACACACACATTCTTAAACCAACCCTAAGGTACTGATACTATACTTTGTGGGCTTCAAACATAATTGCTTTGTGCCAACTTTTTTGTGTACAGAAATACAATACAGAGCTATTTTTGTGCTCAGTCTTGGTTAAAAGTATTTCTTATCTTTGCATACTTTCTGTGATCAATATCCACGTAAGGTCTTCAACTGCCTCTGAAATCCCACAGTGGACAAATGTTTTAAATAAAGTAATAGCTTTTATTACTATTGCAAGGACTCAGAATCAAATTGCTACACTCTTTGCATATGTCAGTACACTACAAAAGTAAGATATATGGCATTATACTTTAAACATTAAATAATAAACCATATTACTTTACTTACAATATAATATACATTTTATTATTAAGACATGAAGAGACAAGGATGATGTTTACTATAAAAACACTTGGTAGGTATCCTGAATACTATATAGGGCATTTATTTCACATATAAAATGAGGCTGGAGTCATATTTGTACTTCTGAGGTATAAAAACTCATTATAATTGATTTAGGAATATAATCCTTCTTTCATTTAGGAATAACAAAACTAAAAAGAAATTACAAATATTCATTTAAACCTCCATTTGCAAGCCAGCCAGAAGAAAGCTTGTAATGCACTTATTTATGCCCTGCTCTGTCCATTAATGGTTCTCAGTCTGCTCTGGCCCATAATCCCAGGGTAGGCCCCTGACTGGCTGGCCATTCAGTGACTAGAGTCTTTTTGAAGACTTTGAACTGAGAGACACGAACACATAACTGCGGCACATCAAAGAGTGATGGGCACTGAAGCTGCAAGGTCACCCACCACCTGACCAGGGAGACAGCCTGACAATTGCTGCCATAGCTGGCAAGGCTTCCAAGCTATCAGGTGTTTCTCAGAAACACCTAGACCTGTCTTATACTTCCAAGAGTATCCAAGACCAAAAAAATGGCACCGATTTGATAAGGGATGGGTGGCCCCAACACCTAACTGGACTGCAATTCTGCCAAGCTAGACTGAGAATTGTTGCCGCTACTGTTGCTTTTAATGAAAACTACTATATTCCTTAGTATTTGTTTCTAACGTGTTAGAATATCCAGCTCCTCTCTGGATAGGAAGATCAACAGCAAGGAGTGGCAAAGGGAGAAAGAGAAGGGGCTATGTAGGACATAAGTGAGTGCTAGGGCCTGGCTCATCAATTCTATCACTCACTCACTTTCCTTTCCTCTCTCTTGTGATTATGGAGAGGTCTCGGATCTGGGAATTCCTTCCGGGGAACATTCTTAAAATATAGATTCCAGGACACCAGACCTACTGACTCAGAATGTCTGTGTTTGAGGCCCATAAATTTTTTATTTTTAACTTCTGCATGTGATGATTATGGTGCAGACTTCCTGTGGACTTGAACTGAGACTCTGATGAGTAGATTAAGCACTAGTTCCCATTTTTGTCACTTATAGGCTGGCCAGTATACAGAGAAAGTTGGTGTTTAAAGAAAATCAGATTTGGCCGGGCGCAGTGGCTCACGCCTATAATCCCGGCACTTTGGGAGGCGGAGGTGGACGGATCACGAGGTCAGGAGATCAAGACCATCCTGGTTAACACGGTGAAACCCTGTCTCTGCTAAAAATACAAAAAAATTAGCCGGGCGAGGTGGCGGGCACCTGTAGTCCCAGCTACTAGGGAGGCTGAGGCAGGAGAATGGTGTGAACGGGGGAGGTGGAGCTTGCAGTAAGCCAAGATGGTGCCACTACACTCCAGTCTGGGAGACAGAGCAAGACTATCACGAAAAAAAGAAAAAAGAAAATCAGATTAATGAAATCAATGGCCAGAGTGAAGCAGAGATGAAATCCTGTAGTCCCAGAAAGAGAGAAAAGGGCAGAGAGCCTTCCAGGTAATGAAAGGCTGAGCTATATATCTGGAACTTAGGAGATCCCCTGCAGCCTTACATGAGTTAGATTGAGTGCGTGTCTGTTCCTTCAACTCATCTACCTTTTTAAAAAGTAGTGAGTATTTCACTGCCCCAGTAGATCTTTAATCAAATAAAATGCAAAACAAACCCCAAAGGTATTGAGCTATAAGACAGTTCTATTCCACAGGAGGACCAGTGATAGGAAACTTCTTCCTCCTGATGCAGAATTTTCAGGATGATCAAAATGGAAATGCAGAGAAATGTAGGTAAACAAGAAAGAGAGACGACAGTGTCACCATTCAGCCATTCTAAAGTTCAGAAAGCTCAAAATCTGTGCTTTGAAAACCTGACCAACTATCAAAACTAGGTAGAAAAATGGAGAGAAGAGAAAGAAAACAAGGGGGAATTTCCCAAGACCAGTCATCTCAGAATTTCCCAAGATCAGTCATCTCTCAGAATATGTGCAAATGTGGCTAAGCACGTAGTCAACACTGAGCGGGCCCGTGGGATCCAGATGATCCAGGTCATACTTTTGCTCCTAGTATTCTTACTTCAGTATAAGCTATTCAGAAGTTTAGATGGAGAGATGGATACTCAACCAAGGATACCATACACAGAGACCATCCAAATGTGTACAAAATTAAAAACAGAGTGCCTCCTGGAAAAAGGAAGCCCTGTAAGTGGAGCTCTGGGCTGGATTTTAGCCCACGCTCTGTCCCCTCAGCAAGCTCCTTCATGCAGTGCAGAATCTGCACAACCTTACACATCAGAATAGGTAGTTGGGTAAAATATGAAACTGTCCACACATATGGTGGACAGATATTTTTTGTTGTTTGCTCAGCATCTTTTCCCAATTCCTTTAGCTAATGTTATCTCCATTAGCTATGGTAAATCCATTTCCCTATTCCATGAGATTCTAGTAGGTATATCAATCACAGTACCCTACCCTGCAGACCACAATAATGTCAAGTGGCTCAAGGAGGATCTAAGTCCCTTCCTGGAATTTTATATATTTGCTGCTTACTATTTCCTGAATGCCTACTAGATGCTGGGGCTACAGTAATGAAATAAATAGGTACACTTACTGCTCTGATGGATTTTACCTTGCAGTTGGAAGGAAAAACAATAATCAGGTAAGCAATTAAATAAAGGAGATAATTTGTGATAAAGGCTATAGGAAACAGTTGATTAAACAAACAACAAATGACTTACAGGGCTATTTCAGAGGGGAAGGCCTTTGCGGGAAGAAAGTTCTCATTTTCCTTTAGAATGACTTAATTCTGAAACTTTCTGTCACTATGTCTTCCTCCTCACAAAGCTCCCTCTACCACCACCACCATCACCACCACTTGGAAGAAAGCCATCTACATGAGAAGAGGACCTACAGAAAGAGGGAATCAGAGCTGAGGTAATGAGAGAGTCCTGACAACATAATTAGAATCTCTATACCATTTAGTTAAAACCCACTCCACTCCTGTTCTTCCCAACTATAGGCCAATAAATCTCCTTCATTGCTTAAGCTACTCTGAGTCATGTTTCTGTCCTAACAGCTGGGTTTTTTTTCTGTTTTTAAATAACGCAGTTTGAAAGTGCCAGGAATGACCTTGATACAAGTATATGCCACAGACCACATATCACCATCATGCATTGAGGAAAATGTGGGCTTTTTAAAATGTTATCCTTCTTTTTATCTGGTTAATGAATAATTATCAGTTATTTCAATGCTTGCTTATTGACAAGGTCTATTATCTCCTTAAGGATTCCTTAAACTTTCTTCCTTTAACTAAATAAATCACCTATTATAAACTCTTCTTGCTGAATAATGAATTACAATCAAAATAGCTTTGTTTGTAATCCTAAGCAAAAAGAACAAATTTGGAGGCATCACATTACCTGTCTTCAAACTACACTATAAGGATATAGTAGGCAGGGTGCAGTGGCTCATGCCTGCAATCCCAGCATTTTGGGAGGCCGAGTCAGGAGAACTACTTGAGCTCAGAAGTTGGAGACCAGCTTGAGCAACAAGGCAAAACCTTGTCTCTACAAAAAATACAAAAATTAGCTGGGCGTGATGGTGTGCACCTGTAGTCCCAGCTACATGGAAGGCTGAGGTGGGAGAAGCACTGGAGCCCTGGAGGTCAAAGCTGCAGTGAGCTGTAATTGCCTCATTGGTCTCCAGCCTGGGTGACACAGTGAGACTTTGTCTCAAAAAGAAGAAGAAAAAAAAGATATAGTAACCAAAACAGCATGATACTGGTATAAAAGTAGATATATAGACCAAAGGAAGAGAATAAAGAACCCAAAAATAAAGCCAAATACAACCAACTGATATTCAAGAAGCACACAAAAACATAAATTGGGAAAAGGACATTCTGTTCAATAAACAGTGCTGAGAAAATTAGCCACATGTAGAAGAATGAAACTGGATCCCTCTCTCTCACCATATACAAAAATTAACTCCAAATGGATTAAAGACTTAAATCTAATACCTAAAGCCATAAAAATTCTAGAAGAAAACCTAGGAAAAAACTCTTCTGGACATTCGTGTAGGCAAAGAACTTATGGCCAAGACCCCTAAAAGCAAATGCAATAAAAATAAATAAATAAATGAGAAATAATTGAATGAAAAAGCTTTTGCAGAGCCAAAGAAACAATCACCAGAGTAAACACAACCTACAGAATGGGAGAAAACATTTGCAAATTATGCAGCCCACAAAGGACTAATATCCAGGATCTACAAGGAAGTCAAATCAGCAAGAAAAAAACAAACGATCCCATCAGAAAGTAGGTAAATGACATGAATAGACACTTCTCAAAAGAAGACATACAAATGGCCAACAAACATATTTAAAAAGTGCTCAAAATCACTAATCATCAGGGAAATGCAAATTAAAACCACAATGAAATGCCACCTAACCCCAGCCAAAACTGCCACTATTAAAGTGTCAATAAACAATAGATGTTATCACGGATGTGGTGAAAAGAGAATGTTTACATACTGCTGGTGGGAATGTAAATTTGTACAGCCTCTATGGAAAATAGCATGGAGAGTTCTTAAAGAACTAAAAGTGGATCTACCACCATTCGATTCAGCAATCCCACTACTGGGTATCTACCCAAAGGAAAAGAAGTCATCAAATCAAAAAGACACCTGCACACATATGTTTATCTGTTTATTACAGCACAACTCACAACTGCAAAGATACAGAACCAACCTAAGTGCCCATCAATGAATTAGTGGATAAAGAAAATAAATATAAATATAAATATATATATATATATACACACACACACACACACACACACACCCCATGAAATACTGCTCAGTCATAAAAAAAGAACAAAATAATGTCTTTTGCAGCAACTTGGATGGAGCTAGAGGCCATTATTCTAAGTGACGTAACTCAGGAATGGAAAACCAACTACTGCATGTTCTTAGTTTTAAGTAGGAGCTGAGCTATGGGTATGCAAACGGGTATAATGGACACTGGAGACTCAAAAAGGGGGAGGGTGGGAAGAGGGTAAAGGACAAAAACTACCTGTTGGGTACAATGCATACTACTTGGGTGATGGGTGCACTAAAATCCCAGACTTCACCACTATACAATTCATCCATGTAGCCCAAAACTACTTGTACTTGTAAAGCTACTTTAAAAAAAAAAAAAATTGGTTAAGTTTTATGGTCGATTTAAAATGGGCATTGTGCATATATACCACAAAATTAAAATCATTTGTTCTGTATTTGTTATCCATCAATCCATCGATGAATGGGAAAAAAATAAACTAAAAAATAAATAAAATTGGGCAGTTTCCACTGGCTTTAATGTGCTTAAAGAGTGTCATTGAGATATTTACCTCTAGCTACTTTAATAAGTTATACTAATCCAATAGTAGCATAGTTGGGAAGAACCAGTGTCTTTAGAACTCCTAGTATTCTTACTTCAGTAAAGCTATTCAGACACTTAAATGGCTTAGGTTTAAATTCTGGACTTTCTTTGTAAACTATAAAGCAACAAATGCTTAGAAGAACAGACAAACAGCCAATATTTGTACAAGAGAGATGTTTAGAGAAAAAAAAAAAGAGCATCTACAACAGGTACAGAAAGTAGAGTGGTTAAAATCGTGGCTTGGGATTCTATCTGCACTCCCATGTTCATTTCGGTATTGTTCACAATATCCAAGATATGGAAGCAATCTAAGTGTTCATCAACAGACGAATCGATAAATACAATGTGGTTTATAAACTACAATGAAATACTATTCAGCTTTAAAAGTAAGAAAATTCTGTAATTCTTGACAACATGGGTGGAACCAGAGGACATTACGCTAATTGAAATAAGCTAGGCACAGAAAGAAAAATATTGTACTTATGTGGAATCTGAAAAAGTTGATATCTTAAAAACAGAGAGTAGACAGGTGGTTACAATGGGTGGTGGGGAGGAGGAGGAATGGGGAAAGGAAAGTTGTTGATCAAAGGGTATAAAGTTTTAGTTACTGGGAGAGACAGTTTTTGGTTTTTTGTTTGTTTTGAGACGGAATTTCATTCTTGTTGCCCAAGCTGGAGTGCAATGGTGCAATCTTAGCCCACTGCAACCTCCACCTCCTGGGTTCAAGCAATTCTCCTGCCTCAGCTTCCTGAGTAGCTGGGATTACAGGGGCATGCCACCATGCCAGGCTAATTTTTTGTATTTTTAGTAGAAATGGGGTTTCACCATGTTAGCCAGGATGGTCTCAAACTCCTGACGTCAGGTGATCCGCCCTCCTCAGCCTTCCAAAGAGCTGGAATTACAGGCATGAGTCACCGCGCCTGGCCTGGAAGAGTAAGTTTTGGTGATCTATTGCACTGTATGTCACTGTATGTTGACCACAGTTAATAATGTATTCTACGTTTCAAAATGCCAAAAAAAAAAAAAAATAGATTTTCAATATTCTCACCACATACACAAAAAAATGATGTCAGTGAGGTGATGTATATGTCAATTATCTTGATTGAATATTTTCTATAATGTATACATAGATCAAAATATCACATTACATATCATATATAGTTATTACTTATTAAAAATAAATAAAATTTAAGAATTATCTAAATTGCTCATGTACTGTCAATAAAAAGATGAAGCATGATTCAAAAATCTTAGATTCAATTGGATGTAACAAATGTTATTTACTGGTCTTGTTCCAAAGACTCTTTAGGTGCTATGGGCAGACAACACAAAGGCCACTCTGACCACGGTTATATACTGCATAACATTTTGGTCAAGGATGGACCAAATATATTATGGTGGTCCCATAAAATTATAATGGAACTCAAAAATTCCTATTGCCAGCCTGGGCGCAGTAGCTCATGCCTGTAATTCCAGCATTTTAGGAGGCCGTGCTGGGCGGATCACTTGAGGCCAGGAGTTTGAGACCAGCCTGGCCAACATGGCGAAACCCTGTCTCTAGTAAAAATACAAAAATCAGCTGGGCGTGAAGGCACATGCCTGTAATCCCAGCTACTCGGGAGGTTGAACCATGAGAATTGGTTGAACTTAGGAGGCAGAGGTTGCAGTGAGCCAAGATCGTACCACTGCACTCCAGCCTAGGCAACAGAGCGAGACTCTGTCTCAAAAAAAAAAAAAAAAAATTCCTGTTGCCTAGTGACATCGAAGTTGTCAAAATGTATGTCATAGCATGAGGCCTTAGCCACATGTTTGTGGTGATGCTGGGATAAATAAACCTACTGTGCTGCCAGTCATATAAAAGTATAACGCAGACAGTTACGTATATACAGTACATAATATTTGCCAATAATAATAAATAATGGTTCTGTTACTGGTTTATGTATTTACTATACTATACCTTTTATATTATTTTAGCATGTATATCTGCTCCTTTGTGTGCTACTGGCCCAGAAAACCTTGCAGTGGGGCAAGATGGAAGGTGGAAGACAGTGATAGTGATGTTATTGACCCTATGGAGGCCTATGCTAAGGTGTGTGTGTATTAGTCCATTTTCATGCTACTGACAAAGACATACCCAAGACTGGGCAATCTACAAAAGAAAGAGGTTTAGTTGGACTCACGTGGCTGGGGAGGCCTCACAATCATGGCAGAAGGCAAGGAGGAGGAAGTCACATCTTACATGGATGGTGGCAGGCAAAGAGAGAGCTTGTACAGGGCAATTCCCATTTTTGAAAAACCATCAGACTTCGTGAGACCCATTCACTCTCATCAGAATGGGGCAGGAAAGACCCGCCCCCATAATTCAGTCGCCTCCCACTGGGTCCCTCCCACAACACGTAGGAATTATGGGAGCGACAAGATGAGATTTGGCTGGGGACACAGAGCCAAACTGTATCAGTGTGTGTCTTAGATTTTAATTAAAAAGTTTTAAAAAGTAAAAGAAAAAAACAAAAATTGAAAAAAGTATACAGAATAAAGAAACAAAGAAGGAAAATATTTTGTGCAGCTGTACAATGTGTGTGTGTTTTAAGCTAAATATTATTACAAAAGAGTCGATATTTTTAATATTTAAGGTTTATAAAGTAGAAATGTTACAGGCTGGGTGCAGTGGCTCATGCCTGTAATCCCAACACTTTGGGAGGCCAGGGTAGGAGTTTTCCTTGAGCCCAGGAGTTCAAGATTACAGTGAGCTACGATTGTGCACTGCACCCCAGTGGATGACACAGCAAGACACTGCCTCTAAACAATTATTTAAATCAAAATTCAAACAATGAAAAATTAAAAGTTACAGTAAGCTAGAGTTAGTTTAATATCAACAAAGAAAACTATTTTTGTATATTTTATGTAGCCTAAGTGTGTTTATAAAGTCTACAGTAGTGCAAAGTAATGTCCTGGCCCT